ATGGGCCAATGGCTCAAGGCTCCAAGTCGTTACTGAGTACTTAAGTACTTGGTAGGGCTTCGTTTTTCAACAAGTGGTGGAAACTGACATCGATCAGAGGCCCGAGTTGGAATAATTCGAGTCGAGAGAGAGGCGGTCGGAAATCGTCCGTGCTCCCCAGTGAACCTTGGTTATAGTAGTACATATGTACCTACTTAAGTACCTTTCCTCTAGCCGTCATGGGCCCAGATGTCCCCGTAGCATCGTAGCATCCTTTGATCTGGAAGGCGCGGCCCAGGAACGTTACGAGTGGGAAGGGGTTGGGGAGAAGAAGGGGACGCGGTTTACTTCAACGTCGGACTTTGAACATAGCTACACCTAAACACTGTGCCTTGCCTCCATCAATAAACAATGACTCCAAAATCATCTAGATCCCCGTACGTCAACCACTGGAGATTTCAGGTACTAAACTCCAGCGAGAACCGGAAGCGGAAACAGACAGGTTTGTCAATTTCGTGGGACTTGGCAAAAGAAAGTGCAGACGGCACAGATCCAAGACGTGATCCAAGACGTGATGTTGCGGCCGCGAAACACATCGCCAATCGCGAACACAACCAAACGAGGGTCCTTGTACAGTACGACGCTGCTTGTATGCATATGGAGTAGCTTTGCTCCAGCTTGCCATGCTGCCGCGATGCTATTGCAGCATACCATGTACTGGGATTCCCCCAAGGATAGAAGCCGTCTGGTGGGCGATCTGATGCAGCTACTCCGTACTGCACCGCTCCCTACGCCTCGCGTGCGGACCTGCCATCTCAAGCATCAGACCACACAGACAGGCTTCACGGAGTACAGCCCCAGCCTTCAAGCTCAGCGGCAAAAAGCGAATAATTCGCTGAAGAAGATGCAGTTGGCGGGCTACTTGAATGTAAGACTCCCTAGGACGAAAGCCATAATGCCCGAAGCCATAATGCCCGAGATCAAATGTGGTGCGCACTCTTCGAATTGACCTTCACCAGGAACAATGATGAGCTAGTTATAAGATGGTTATCAAAAACGCGATGATTGCTCCATTACTCACAGCCCAGAGCATGCTCCACTTGAGGGCACGGCCCAGGAGAACCGACGGGGTGGGCTTCATCGTGCCTTGCAGCTCGCCTGGGTCCTTGAGATCATCAACGGAGACCACAACATCAGGGGCCAATATATGGAGATGCCTTCATCTAGCTAGCGAGACACAGAACGCCCCAGTGATTCTAAATTTCACACCCGGTATGTCCGCTGTCCTCATTTGTATCACTTGTGCGCATAGATATTAACAATGGACAGTCTTGAGTCGGCGAAGGCTACTTTGCACCTGCACGCATGTTAACCGTGGAGATCAATCGTACGAAAGTGAATCGGGTAAAGCCATCCTCCCCCTGGCTCTGCAGAATCTCCCCAAATCCGCCAAATGCAATTGTGATTTTTCGGTCCACGAAAATAGTAAATGAATACCGACCAGTTGACCTTAGCTAGGGCTCTGTGCGAATTTTAAGGAATAGGTTACGGAGTACGGAGTATACCCGACGTCAATCGATTCTCCCCATGCCATCCAGTCCATAAAGGGGGTCCAAGCGCACCTCTCGAGACCAGCATGTCAGACTCTGCCCCAAATCCTTGGGTTCGAAATGCTTGGTCGCCGTAGGTGATTGTCGCGATCGCGGCCGCATCAGCGGGATTCCTTCTTTTCTTTTTTTTAGTCCCTCCGTCCCGCGTTGGAGTCGCAGACGGCGGGCCCAATGCTGGTCCATACCAAAACCCTACAACAGTGGAGTGGTCACACGTCAGTCAGTTCTCAGTTTCCCCTCGTGTTGCTCGTGTCTGACCCAGACACGGAGCCTGTGTCTGTGATGCGGCTGAAACCACTTCCCTTCTGGGGAAAGCTTTTCGTGCACTCCACTGATAGATAAAGCGGCGTTGGGATGACAATGACGTCTTGGGAACGAGACCTTACGCTCAAGGCGTATCATGTAACGAAACTGTGAGGACCTCCTTCTAGACCAAGCTTCAGGGTGGTTGTCACATGAGCCACCAACTCCAATGCCCAAGCATCAACGTCTCCGAAGACCATTGCGGCAGTATTTGAATTTGCGGCCACCGTTTTCATCTCCACGCTAGAGAAACCAAACTTCACTATGAAGAATACCTGGAGATGTTGTGACCAACCACCGGAGCCAGTTTTATGTAAGAATTCTCGATCGGGCGACGTGCAGCTTAACCCAGGCCTTTGACGACAATCATTACTTATTCGAGCCACCATGTCAGTTTGCTTTTTGCCATGGGTGATGAACAGCTGCCAGAAACGGTCCGTGGGGGTCGTCTTGGCATTATATTTTTGAGAACTGGCATCTACAACTAACTTACAAGTCTCTGTTTCCATGCGCAGCTCAGGCTCGAATCATACTATGGCAAGTACAAAGGGTCCTAGTTTCAGCCTGAAAAGCACACCATTCCGCGAACCTTTCTTTACTTTAGACTTCAAGGTATTGGGGAAACAGCCTTCATCCTACCTTTACCTTCAAGGGGCCAAAGTAAAGGTTATTGCAGCAGTCCCTCAGGCACCACAAGACGGGAGACGAAGTACTTACATACAGTTGGCCACAACTAACAGACTGACAGCGCAATTAACCATGGATTCATTATTTCGAAGACTAATAGGTACGCAAAGCCACTAAAAACCAAGATAGGAGATGATGTTGCGCAGGCACGACTGCTCTGGTTATTAATAGCCTTACCAACTCCCAGCTCGTTTACATGCCGGATCGGCTCGCTACCCAACTCTTGTAGTGTTGCAGGGTTCAAGGATGTGCAGCACGATATCCTGGGTGCGGAGGTTTCCAGCAATAAATGTCACTGTAGCAATGTGATATAGCAGCCAATCCTAGCACTGGCGCAGTCTGTGTCAGGGATCTGACCATTTCATCCGAGGCAAGTCAAGAATGAATGATGGCATTAGGATTGCAAATACGGCTGACATCATCACACGCCTGGCAGCCTTGCTATTATTACCTTCCCAATAGCCTACCAAAGTCTTGCAGGTATGGTCCTGTTACTTTGATACTACTCCTGCCAAGTCCTACCAAAAGCAGCCTTTTGCAAAGTATAGTGTTACTAAGGAGTATTGCAAGGATGCTTCTTTCCCACGGCCAAGTAACTGTTAAACCTCGGTGTTCATGCTACTCTGTACACGTTCCCCATCCTTATCGTAAAGGCATAACGAAATATCGAGCTTCGGTATAGGACCAATGAGATTCGACCTTTGGAAACAAAGCCGAACTTCCCGGATGTAACTAGTGAAGGCAGGGGAATAGACCATCCGGAATGAACATGTATGTGGAATCGGGGCTCCTTTAGCGGAGAGGTTTGAGATTGTTGATGGTGCTAGTACCTTGATAACCACCATTCGTCCTTCAAACTGCACCTTGATCAATACCTAGTCGTTTTGTTACCCACCCCGGGATGTCATCCGATGAATGCAAATGTGAGCAGGGGCTGTGCCACGAGACTTTCTCATGGCCCTACTCAACACCCTCTTGCGACATTTCAAGGATCCAGCTGTAATGTGTCAATATCCGGCTCTGTGGATCTATATGTCCATCCCGTTTTATGGCATCAAAACAGCTTTGCTTTTATCTGTCTGGGAAACCTATGATAGGGCTTTCCTACAACGAGGTCAATAAGTTTAGATGACTTGTAGAAGAATTGGATACTGCCATAGCAAACGCAAGGGCTCACGATCTCGTATTGAAATGGGCGCCAGGAAAACAGACGATCGGGGGTGGTCATAAATAGCAACATAGGTACTATTCCGTAGGCACTGTAGAATTGAGTATTACACGGATTGGTACACGTTAGTCTGCGCCTCTCTCGCCTCCCCCGAATATTGAATATTGTATGTATATCCCCGCGGCCTCAGCAAGCCAGCAGTCCGGTGGACAAAGATCACACTGCTTTTGTGGCTGGCTGGTTGTGCAATAATCTGCAGGTCTGAACAGTCAAAGCGTAACGCCCCAAGTTTCATGAACAAGCTTGCTCCTCTCCACTACGGGCCGAAGAGATGGAGTTCTCCTTGGATCTAGGTCTGCATCATTGATTAATACCGGATCCTTTATTCGCCGTGACGTTTGGCGGCGTGATTTGTAATTGTCGGTGAAACCAACGTGCATTCGCTGCGTGTTTGTTGGTTGAGCTAAAGCAGCACGCGAAATACGACTTGGTGGACTGTCTAACATGGATGACATATAATACTAGCCGAGTATTCGCATGTTTCCAAACAGTATGCGCGGCAAACTAAGAAAACATCAACGCTTTGACGGCGAATTAGATGCGGTGTCATATTACTTTCTATTGTTTGGCCACCACCGTGCTCTGTCTTATTACCTTGCGCGTTTGGCCGACTAGTGAAGGTTTTCAACCACAGAAGATTTGTCATGTCAGGATTTCATTTCACCGAGTATGCTGCTTCGGTGAATCAAAGAATGCCCAACGTATGGCATGGTTGATGACGAGCACACCATGAAGTAAACAGGGAATCCTCGCCCGGTGAACACTTATTAAAGGGGAAATTCGACAGCCCACCAGCCACACTCGCAGCACGTGCGCCACACCTTGCAAGTCGCGCCAGCCAATCAGAATGCGGTTAGACAACCAGGTGCCACCTCTATCCTCGAGCTTGCCACTTTGCGTGTCGCGCGGTCCATCACGATGTGTTCGGACGACAAGCTCAAGGAGGGCATGGAAGATCGGATAAGCAACCCATCCAACAACGGCTCTTACAATATCACCAACCCCAACCATCCACGTACACCAGTTGTCGCCGACGCAAAATAGTCAACAGCGACACTTATGCTGCGTTTTGACTACCACCCTTAATTGACTGTTGGCCATCGGGCTCCTCTTAGGTGTTGAGCAGGGTTTTCTGTTTGAGCCCGAGGGGCTCCCCGTTAAGCCCTGCCCCTGAGGCACTCGAGGTCGCCGTCATGTCGGACCCGTCTCCTCGGGCTGTCCGCTTTTCTGGCGGCGAGGATGAGCTGCAGCAGGAGAGACCTAAGCCACGAAGACCGTCGGTAGTCGTCAGCCCTGATGCTGTGAACTCGTCACCCGGGTCGGAGGATGAACCCAACGCTATAGAGGGGCACAACGAAATCAACGACTTGAAAAGATATATTGACACTCCCGCGCATGCCAACTCTCTTGCGTCAATACCCGCCAAGACTGTTGTCAATGGTGTTGGTGTTAGCTCGAAGACGCAGTGGAACAATGAAAATGATGACGGCACTGCGTATGCCAATAGCGGCCGACACCAGCGACCGCTTGCCCCAGCCAGAACTCCGTCCAATACATACAACCCGGCCACATCTCGAAAACCGCGGCCATCGCAGCAGATCCAGCTGTTCGTGGAGTCCATGCGGTCGTCGTCGAAGACCCGAACCCGGCAGAGCGAGAGTAGATTTCGAGCACAAGAACGAGCCTATATCCAGAAGCTTCGGCATGATGACTCGGGAGAATACTTTTCATCATTTCAAGGAATGAACGGGGACGACTCCGACTCCGAGGGCGAGACACCGAATTCGGAAGGACCGTTTGAAGACCAAGAAACCATCATGTTTTACGGAAACGATAATCTACTACCAACCGAGGAGGACATGAAAGACCCGAACAACAGGGAGAGGCTTGAGTGGTACGGCATGCTTGAGGCTGTCTTGACTGGCGACGTTGTTCGTCAAGAAAAGAAGCGACTTATTGGTACTTCAGACCAACAGGCCAGTAAAACGGCCCACAAGTCAGAACTGTGGCTCGGCATTCGGGCCAAATGTTGCGGCAGACAGCTTCCTGTCCAGAAACGCATGGTCGAAGAGGCTCGGAGCACGGTTGATCGGCTCTTGGACGACATCATCAATTTTGAGGTCAAGGGCGAGAGCGAGGCTGGGAAACCACCTTACGAGCAGGTCAAGGATATTGTGAAGAAGATCGAGAAGTGCGAGAGTCTTTATCCTTCATGGCAATCCCTGGCAGCGGAACACAAAACGGCTGCCTCGCCTCAATTCCAAGAGGCCTATGAGGCCATCTTTTCATGGTACAACACGAACAAGATGATCAATACGGAACTGTCCATCTTGAAGAAGTGGGTTGGAAATGAGGAGCTAGACTTTTCTCGCACCAAACAAAGGTCACCTGCTGTAGACGGCATCACTACTGATGAGACGTCTTTCCTCGATAGATTGATGAAAGAGGATGGCTTGCAATCCCTTTATGACGACGATGAGCGGACTCCCCAGAAGGGTATGCTCTGGCCTATTTCTTCCATCATTAGCAAAGCCAAAGAGACGCTTATTCGCAACTCTGCGCCCTTCCGAAAACGCCACCTACCGCCATATCTAGAGGAACTGTTGACCCTCATCAGTTTCCCGTCTCGGCTCATTGAGGAAATCACGAAAACGCGTCTCGAGTACGCTAAGAGAGTTAAAGAGGCCGCTCAGCAGAATCCAATGATGCAAGAACAGATGACTTCACAGTTTCAACTTCTCCTCAAGTTTGCCATTAGAATCAAGCAGGAGTATCTTTCTATTGAAAGCCCTGAGCCCGGCTGGGACCTACCACCGTGTATCGATGAGTCATTCGATCAGGTTGTGTTGGAAGCGCTCAAGTACTATTTCAAGATGTTGAATTGGAAACTGAGCGGAAACAAGAATTCGTTCAAAGAAGCAGAATTACTGTTTCAGGAATGGGACTTTGCCAACTACATTGGAAGTCACTTACAGGGTGGCCATATCGAAGTAGCTGAGCAATTCAGCTCCCTAACATTCAAGGCTCTACACCGTTTGAGTCAAACGTTTGAAAAGGAGCTGCAGGCGAAACCCAAAGAAAGCGCCGCCGACATGAGCAAGCGATACAAGGCTTGTCTCGATTCCGTGCGTATTCGCCAACGGATGCTGCAAAGATTCTGGAGACTGCTAAGCGACAACTATGAGCATGTTTCTGATTTCAGCCTTTTCTTCCCGCCAGAGACCATGCAAAAGTTTTACGATCAACTAGTAGCGTCCGGCCACTTCCTTCTACAAACCGGAGTGTTTGAAGAGCAAGGTGCTTATGTTATTGCATCCCCGGAGCTTCATGGCAAGTTGGATGACATGCAAGCAATGATGGCTGTGACCTCGATAGATCGGTTTCCAGACCTGGGCGAGCAATACCTCCTCATCCTGCGACCAGAAGACAGTTTCCACTGGTTTGGAGAAAAGGCTACTGTGCCTCTGCGAGAGCAGAGTATCGATTTGAGACGGGGTCAGGCTCGTTTGTGCGCAACAGGGTCGCGGGCACTGCCAGAAGCAAGAAAAGCCTTCCTTGACGCAGTGGATATGCATGTGGATTTAATCCAGGAGTCTAGGTCCAATATTCCGAAAGTCAACTCCAGACTTGCGGAGATTCGACGGGTAGCCTACAGGCTGTCCAACACGTTCATGGACAGTGTCGAGGTGATCCGCAAACAGGCTGAAGGGAAGGACTGCCAGGAACTGATTCAAACATGTTTTGTCTTTGCTACCGAGTTCGGCCAACGGTCGCTACTCTTCATGGATAACAATAGACGGCCTTTGAACAATTTGAAGCTCACCAAGCTTGCTCTTGATTGGGTGAGCTTCATCTGTGACGACTGCATTGCTTCAGATCGAAAGACGTTCAGATGGGCCGTGCTGGCTCTGGAATTTGCCATGGGCATGACCAGGGGACGACATATTCTTGCACTTGGCGATGATGAGTATGAGAGGCTCAGAACAAAGGTGGGTGGCTGCATGTCACTCTTGATCTCCCATTTCGATATCATGGGTGCCAGATCCAATCTGGCCGCGCAAGCAGAAAAGGAACGGGTGGAAGCTCTTCTGGGACAATTCAGGAAACTGGACAAGAACAGAATGCTTGACGACGAGGAGGCCTCGCGCTGCACCACAGAGCAGCGTTTGATTCGGTTGGATGTTGTGGATGAACTCAGGCACGAGAAGGAAGGGGAGAGACGCGCACTGGGTCGTGTACTGGAGGCCAACAATGAAGCTGATCGATCGCTTGCCTATTTGTCCTCGTCGGCAACCAATGTCACGAAGAGATGGCAGCAGGGACACTTTGTTGGCGGTGGCACCTTTGGCAATGTGTACGCGGCCATGGACCTAGACACTGGTTTGCTGATGGCTGTCAAAGAGATCAGACTGCAAGATCCAAAGCTGATTCCAACCATTGCCGAGCAAATCAGAGAGGAGATGGGTGTCTTGGAAGTATTGGACCATCCCAATATCGTGCAATACCACGGCATTGAAGTCCATCGAGACCGTGTGTACATCTTTATGGAATATTGCTCTGGCGGATCGCTTGCGAACCTGCTCGAGCATGGACGAATCGAGGATGAGCAGGTCATTACCTTTTACGCCCTGCAGCTTCTAGAGGGATTGGTGTATCTACATGAGAGTGGCATTGCTCATCGAGATATCAAGCCAGAGAGTACGTGTCTACCGTGTTTAAGTTTCTTTATACGTATACTACGTTTTGCGCTAACATTATGCATTTGCAGACATCCTGCTCAACCATAACGGCATCATCAAGTATGTGGATTTTGGGGCTGCCAAGGTCATTGCCCGCCAAGGACGTACGCTGGCGGCGGATTTACATGCCACAAAGCCCAACAAATCCATGACGGGCACTCCCATGTACATGTCGCCGGAAGTTATCAAAGGAGAGAACCCGGGACGAGCGGGCTCTGTGGACATATGGTCGCTCGGCTGCGTCGTTTTAGAAATGGCCACTGGTCGACGGCCATGGGCCAATCTGGATAACGAATGGGCCATCATGTACAACATTGCACAGGGTAACCCGCCACAGCTACCAACAGCTGACCAAGTGAGCCCTGCAGGGCTTGATTTTCTGTCCAAGTGCTTCACACGAAACCCAAAGGAACGACCATCGGCCGTGGAGCTTCTGCAACACGAATGGATCATGGCTGTTCGAAGCCAGGTGGTCGAACCCATGACCCCGAGCGACAGCAGCTCATCGGCGCAGACGACTCCGCTGACAGCGAGCTCTAGCAAAGGCAGTTACATGCTGGATGGATCATAGTGGCGATGGGGCATGTTGCTGCCTGAACTGATACATGGCATTGTATTACCTGGATGAACGATTCTGCTGCCTTGTTTTCTTTTCGTCTTTTTCTCCCTTCTTCTTTATTTGTATCCAAACCAAGGGTGGGAGAGGCATATTTTCTATAGTCACGACGCAGCTGAATGCAGTTTCTGGGGTGTATATCTATGACGGGGATAAGATGATTCAATTGTCTTTATCATACCTAGTTGAGGCATGGCCGGGGAAACGTGTCGGGCGGAATTTATGAGATACCATTTGATGTAATGGCGTGGCTTAGCTTAGCTTATAGCGTGAGGTCGATGCGTGCAGAGAAGTAATGAAAGCGGCAAATTTTCGAGGCACTGATTTCGCCTGGACGAACCATGAATGATATGTATAACTATACATATATATATATATATATCATGAATACCCTGCAGACAGCCGTGGCAAAAGCTGCGTTGCATTGCTCATCCCAGCAACGGTCCCGTTTCCGCACCTCAGCAACAACCATGTCCAGTGTCCAATTCTGGGTAGAAAACGTCCACGGTCAGGCAAAACCGCAGCTCCCGCGGCAGGGCCCCCCTCGACAGCAGGTTGCCCAAAACGGGCTTGCTAACCGCCTACGGAAGAGTCCTCCGAGCGCCACCTCCGACGACCAAGATGCAGATTCCCCGCATGACAGCCAAAAATGTGGGGGAGCTTCCGGGCAAGCAGGCCGGAAAGAGTAGGCAGGTACTCCACTCCCGTACCCAGGCACAGCAAGACAACAGTACCGAGTACAAAACTCCATGAGAACCATCTTGCATCTCCTTGCCCTCCTCCCCTTCTCCTCCCGCCTCTCTGGAGCTCCGTCTCCGACCTCTTTCAGCAAATACGTGGACCGCCAACATACTTTTGTCCTGTTTTCCCCGGACCCCCTCCCCCGCCGCGTTGTGTCTTCCCGCCGCGCCAAGAATAAAAAACAAGAGCCATGTCCCGCCCGCCGCCGACCGTCCACGCCTCCTCGTCAGCCGACTCCATCGCGGCGACATGCGAAGCGCACGGCCTCACGCGGGAGCAGTTCGCCGCGCTGCGCGAGCAGGCGTCGGCCGCCAAGAGCACGGCCTACTGCCCCTACAGCAGGTTCCGGGTGGGCGCGGCGCTCCTGGGCGACGACGGCTCCGTCACCACGGGGGCCAACGTCGAGAACGCCTCGTACCCCGTGGGCACGTGTGCCGAGCGCGTGGCCCTTGGCAAGGCCGTTACCGACCGCGGCCTGAGGGCCTTCAAGGCCGTGGCCGTGGCGACGGATGTCGCTCCGCCCGCTAGCCCCTGCGGCATGTGTAGGCAGTTGTGAGCCTTCCCGGATATAACCCCCCGTGAGGAAGGGGCTGGTTTGGAGCTAATGCTGGCGCGGCAGTATTCGCGAGTTTTGCAGGCTGGATATGCCCGTCATCATGTTTGACAAGGATGAGAACTTTGTGGTTCTGACGCTGGAAGAGGTACGTCGTTTGCTTTGAAAAAAGAAGGGGGGGGGGAAGGGCGTCGTTGGGGGGATTTTACTGACTGACGCGCCGGTTTGATAGCTACTGCCTTTGTCTTTTGGGCCCGAGAAGCTGGGTATGTGATGGGCGGTTTAGGTTGTGAGTTGGGAGTTGGGGCTGTGGAAGAGCGCTTTTTTTTTTTTTTTTTTTTTTTTTTTTTTTTTTTTTTTTTTTTTTTTTTTTTTTTTTTTTTTTTTTTTTTTTTTTTTTTTTTTTTTTTTT